TTATTTAACTTTGATGCTTTCATGAAATCTTTTACAAGTAGCTATGGTACAAAATTACAAGGACTACATTAAAAAGACTCTGACAAGTACAGGTTTCTGATAACTTTAAGACTGTATTATTGAACTGGTAAGGATTTCCAGAACTCATTTGGAAAAGTCATGGATTTATAAAATTGCTAACTCAATATCAAACAAAATTATAATTAATTATATGAGGCTAAATTAACTGATTAGAATAATTATGTCTTTTATGACATTTGTTTGAAATATTGCTTGTTCTTTAATGTCTTGTTTTTCAGATTTAAGGAATTATTTTTCTTGGTTCTCTTAAGCTGTCTCTAACAAAATGTATGAAATGTACTTCTGCAAACAAAAACATTTACATTTCTCTATCTACCTGATCACTCCATAATTTGGAAACTCTTACTAAATATTCTTATTTTCATGGCAATATGAGTATTTCCATAAGTTCAATAAGAATCTGTTCTCCTTATAACAGGATCAAATTGGACAAGTCCTTGCCTAGACTTTTGAGCCTAGAGAGGTTTTAGAAGTTTTAACTTGAGATTCCTTATTACCAAATCATTTTAAAAAACCAAACAATCAACTAAGATTGACTTATACAAAGTCCACAAGGCCCATCACTTATTACCAAACCTACAACTAAAATGTCATATTTTAAAATATGCATAGAATCACTATTGTTGCACTTATATAATCAGGTCAAGTTCAAGTTCAATGAGCCTAAGCTTTAAAAAAAAAAAAGTCTTATTTTGGGTAAATTTGGTGATTATTTTTGGTAAAAAAAAATGGGTGATTACAAGAAAGAGTGCATTTGACTAGAAAACTAAGCACACCCATTACAAAATTCTAGTTCTATTTATTATCTTAGAAGTTTATTATCTACTCACAAATTGGATTGTATCCTAAATCTTTCTAGTTTCAATAAAAACTAAAATTGCTCCTTTCCCAAGACCTGCAAGCTGAAATCAAATGACTTGATAAAAACTTCAAAGAAGTTAAAACAGGTCATGTATGAACAACTTTCATGCCTTTTGCAATGTGGGTCACTCAAAGAGTTCATCAAAATTGCTGATGATATAATCAGAGATATTCAAACTGGCTCATCAGATTGCAACTGCCATCCTCATTCTATCATCTAAAGATGCTGCAAACTCAAATTGGAAATCTTGACTAGCAACCCTCTGAACTCAAAAACTAAGATCATAATGTGGCCCAACAATTAACTTGTTTTTTCTTTTGTTTTTATAGAATGACTGCTTAAATTTTCGTCAAGAAATAAAATCAGAAATGAACAATTTAGCCTCAGTAGTATTCCAAAATATAAAACTTACGGATAACTTAACAACATGACAAGAAGCAGTTTGTACTTATGCAGGCAAAAATGTTTGTCAGTAAATCAGAAATTATTGCCCCAAATTCAAATTATCTTTAGAAACAGATGTAAGTCTTTCATGAGAGATGTGTTCCCTCCTTGATTAATGTATTTAGTCAGCTAAATAATGACTCCTGGAAATTTCTGCTGTGAGGACTTTTTAAATCCTTGGCAACTATTCTCCTTATACTCATGGTGTTCACTTTCCTACTGCATAGTATCCACTCAAGGGTATAAAATGCCTTTCAGCAGCCACTCATGTCAAATGATTGCCATCAAGATTATATGACTTGAAGAACTCAACAACATGAAGAACTCAATACCTGGACCACTCAAGCCACAATGACTATGCAATCTTCAGAAACAAAGACTAGGTGACCTCACATTGCAATGCAACTATTGATGATGGTAACATTTCCTTGACTCCTTTTTCCAGTGACTACATAAATAATGGTAACTAAGAGTAATGCTACACTATTTGGTCACACTCTCCGTTTGCTGAAACAATGACCAAAAGAGGGGAATTTTTAAAGTAAATTAGAATGGAGAGCTAGCCTGAAGAATTTCTGAGCAGAAAAAGCAAGTTAGGCCTCAAAAGTGTCCTAAATCTTACTTGATTTGTCAACATAAGCAAAACTTAACTTTATCAATTTCTTCTAAATGCCCATATTAAAGAAAAAGAGAACTTAAGCTCAACCAATTAGAAGGAGCAAAACAAAACAAGCGTATAACTAACTAGAAACTCTCCAGCTAGATACACCAAATATGGCAACTGTGTAACTGTAACCATTCAAATACAGGCATACCTTGGATTTATTGCAGGTTTAGTTCCAGACCACTGCAATAAAATAAATATTGCAACACAGTGACTCACATGAATTTTGTGGTCTCCCAATGCATATAAATTTATGTTTACACTATGCTATAATCTATTGTGTGAATAGCATTATGTGTAAAAAATGGCTCATAATTTACCTAAAAAACACTTCATTGCGGCCGGGTACAGTGGCTTACGCCTGTAATCTCAGCACTTCAAGGGGCCAAGGTGGGCGGATCAGGAGGTCAGGGGTTCAAGGCCAGCCTGGACAACATGGTGAAACCCCGTCTCTATTAAAAATACAAAATATTAGCCAGGCATGGTGGTGCGTGCCTGTAATCCCAGCTACTCAGGAGGCTGAGGCAGGAGAATCACTTGAACCTGGGAGGCAGAGATTGTAGTGAGCCAAGACAGTGCCACTGCACTCCAACCTGGGCAACAGAGTGAGACTCTGTCTCAAAGAAAAAAAAAAAAACAAAACAAAACACCTCATTGCTCACAAAATTCTAACTAACATCTAAACTTTGGCAAGTCCTAATCTTTTTGTCAATGAAGAGTCTTCCCTCGATGTTGATGACTAATCAGTGTGGTTGTTGCTGAAGGCTGGAGTCGCTGTGTCAAACACTTAAAATATGACAATAATGAAGTTCCTTTAATGAAAGTGTTTTCTGAAGTATGCTGTGTTTGTATTTTACCCATAATAGAACATCTTCTAAAATCAAAGCCAATCTTCTCAAACTCTCCCACTGCATTATCAACTAAGTTTATGTACTATTCTAAATCCTTTCTTGTCTTTTGACAATGTTCACAGAATCTTCACCTGGAATAGAGTCCATCTAAGGGAACCTTTTTTTTTTTTTTTTTTGCTTATCCATAAAAAACAACTCATCCATTAAAGTTTCATTCTGAGATTGCAGCAAATTCAGTCACATCTTCAGGCTAGTTCTGGTTTTCTTAGTATTTTTCCCCCATCTTCAGTGACTTGAACTTGACAAAGCCATCCATAAGGGTTGAAATCAACTTCTTCTAAACTCCAATTAAGGTTGATATTTTGATCTCTGGGAATCACAAATGTTTTTAATGGCACCCAGAATGATGATTTTTTTTCCAGAAGGTTTTCAACGTTTCCACACAGATTCATCAGGGAAATCTCTCTCTATGGAAGCTATAACTTTATGAAATATATTTCCCTCCTTCCCTTAATCCCTCCCCTTTCTTCCTTCCTTCCTTTGCATTTCTTTTAGAGAGAGGCAGAGAGAAAGAGAGAAGAAGTGAATTGTATTTCTTAAATAATAAATCTTGTAATTCAAAGTTACTCATTGATCCATGGGCTACAGAATAGATGCTGTATTAACAGACATTAAAAAACAACATTAATCTTCTTAGACATCTCCATCTAAGTACTTGTGTGACCAAGTTTATAGTCATCAGCTTTTTGAAAGGAAACGTTTTTCTGAACAGTAAGTCTCAACAGTGGACTTAAAATATTCAGTAAACATTGTTGTCATCCAGGGTTTTGCTTCTATTTATGTTAGGTTAGTGCAAAAGTCATTGAGGTTTTACCAGTGGTTTTAATGGCAAAAACCATAATTACTTTGCACCAATCAAACAGACAACAAACCAAATAGATTTTGCATAATTTCAGGGCCCTAGGATTTTTCTGAGCATTAGCTTCAACTTCAACTCACCAGCTACAGTAGCCCCTAACAGAAGAGTCAGCCTGAACTTTGAAGCTTGAAGCTTGAAGCTTTGAAGCCAGGCATGGAGTTCTCTTCTCTAGCTATGAAAGTCCTAGATGGCATTTTCTTCCAGTAGAAGGATGTTTTAACTACATTGAAAATCTGTGGTTTATTATAGATACCCTCATCAATTATCTCAGATCTTCTGGATAACTTGCTGTAGCTTCTACATCAGCAATGACTGTTTCACCTTGCCCTTCTATGTTATAGAGACAGTTTGCTTTCTTAAACTTCATGAACCAATCTCTACTAACTTCCACAAATTTTCTTCTGCAGTTTTCTTATGTCTCTCAGCCTCCATAAAATTAAAGTGTTGAAAAATGCTGAGTGTATGATTGCTGAGAAATGCCGAGTGTGTGATAAATTATATTGTTTGCTAAGAAGGATAGCAAGGAAAATCTAGGCGCCCCCACCCCCACCCCAGCAAGTGGAAAACTACTTGGGGCATTCTAAATCATCAAGACAGTATACATATATTATACACTGGTTAAAGCAATTCTTTAAGTGTGGGATATGTGATCCGTGATCCTGTCCCTGTGGTTCCCTTGTGGAGACTACTTTCTGGTTTGCCCTTGACCAGTGGTAAGCAGGCACCAGCTGCCTACATAGTTTATCTTGGTTCTATGAGAAAACATAGAACACCTGTTTGTTAATAATAATCAACTGTTCAGAGAGAATAAATACATGGGTCAGAACCTGCTCAAGGCCCCTAGCCCATAATGCTGTCAGCCCCCTGAGGCTTTCAGCTTGGAAGGCCGTTGGCCCCAGAATAGTCCAACTTTGCTGTTCTATCTGGGTGTCTGCTTCTTAATGCCTTCAGCCCCGCCTGGGTGGGGGGGTCTCTACAGCTCAGTTGGTCTCAGTAAAAGAGAGTTAGGCCTTTCTCTGGATTAGGCTTTGGCTTAAGGAAATGTTGTGCTGGTTTGATCTTCTATCCAGAGCGCTCAAACTTTCTGTGTATCAGCAATAAAGCTGTTTCACTTTCTTATCATTTGTGTGTTCACTGGAGTAGAACTTTTAGTCTCCTTCAAGAACTTTTCCATGGCACTCACACATTGGCTAACTGGTGCAAGAGACTGAGCTTTTGACGTGGCTTCTTCACTAAGCTTAATCATTTCTAGCTTTTGATGTAGAGTGGGAGATGTGCAACTCTTCCTTTTACTTGAACACTTAGAGGCCATTATAGTTGGCCTAAATTCAATATTTTATGTCTCAGGGAATAAGGAGACCAGAGGAGAGGGAGAGAGGTGAATAAACATCTGGTTGGTGGAGCAGTCAGAAGACATATAACACTTATTAAGTTCGCTGTCTTATATGGACATGTTTCATGGTGTCCTGAAACAATTACAATAGTAATTAATCATTGATCACTGATCACAGATCTCCATAACAGGTATAGTAACGAAAAAAGTTTGCAAGAGTACAATAATTATCAAAATGTAACAGAGTCACAAAGTGAGCATATAATACTGAGAAAATGGTGCTGATAAGCTTGCTCGATGCAGGATTACCTAGTAACTTTAATTCATTAAAAAAAATAAATCTGAAAGCACAATAAAAAGCAATAATAAAAAAGGTATATATGTATTTTCTTTGCTTACTTCTGCATCTGTCCTATAAAAACCTCCCCCTTTGTATTCCTTTGGTAGAGCTCCGAAACTCCTTCTGCTTTGGAGGTACCTGATTTAATAATTATTATTTGCTCATATAAAGTCAATAATTTTATTGTGCCCCAATTTATCTTTTTACATAGGTAACAGCTAAAAAATAAATAAAAGTGATGCTTAACAAATTAGTCAATGAAAAATGTCAAATCTGGAAAAAGAAGAGTTACATAAAATATGCTACAGAATGTGGAATGATCTATAGCAATGTTCTTCATACATTTGTACATTTGTATGGCTTTGGAAATAATGATATTTGTCTAAGTCCTTTACTGGTTATTACGTTTAAAACAACGCAAGTAGCTTAAGCAGTTTGATATTAAATATGACTAATTTGTAGTAGCAACTTCATATTAAACATAAAATGGGAGAAAACTTCTGTGCTCAGCATTAGCCATTGGGAAATTGTGTCTGCTTTACAGCGGTTGTAGTGTTTTTTACCAACAGTTAACTCAACACCTTTCATTAATTAGAAAGGGCTTAGTTACGATCTAAAATAGATTTCTTTCTTATTTATATTGGAACAATTTATCTCTAGTAAAATTGGTAGACTCCATTTATATCAAATGCATTCAGTACAAGTTTTGACTGGAAGTCTTTGTTGAAAGTTAATCCTATTAAAAATTAGTGAATTAGACGCAAACACAAACATTTGAAAGCAAATAATATGCCATATTTGATAAGTCCTAGATTTAAATAATCAATAGCTCTTTCTCAAAATATTTTGATTATGTAAATGTACCCTGTTGGACTATATTTATAGGAATTACTTTCCTTGTAATGAATTTCTCTATTTAGCTAATAAAATTTAGAGTTCAAATTTTAGTAACTATAATACCTAAAGTCAACTAAAATGACATTTTGTTTTAATCTAACTAAAAAAAAAAAAAACAAAAAAAATGCCATAATTTGAACATTTGTAGATCAGCAATAAATAAATACCTGAGACATTGATTTAAAAATTTAGCAAAAATGTATCAATATATTCAAAATGAAAATGAACATCATAGTTGCCATGGAATGAATGTTTATATGTCCTTAAAATTTATATTGTGAAATCCTAATTCCCAGTGAAGTAGTATTTGGAGATGAAACCCTTGGGAAGTAAATTAAGGTTATATTAGGTAATTTAGATGAAGCCCCATGATGAGATTAGTGCCCTTTTAAGGAGATGAAAGATCAGAGTTCTCTCTCTGTTATGTGAAGATACAGAAAGAGGCATTTCTCTGCAAATCATGAAGAGGGCCCACAGCAGGAGCTGGCAGCTTGATCTCAGACTTCCCAGTGGTCAGAACTGTGAGAAATGAATTTTTGTTGTTTGAGTCACTCAGCCTATAAAATTTATCTTATAGCAGCCCAAATTAAGGCAATAGTATTGGCATCTAGCTTTTAAGGTTTTAATACTAGTGAGCAAAATCACAAAATTCATCATCTTTATAAACACTGTAAGGTGTTAAAGAGTTGATGCTAATTTAATAGGCTTAGGCATTTTTTATGAATAAACTCTAAGAGCGATTTGAACGTTTTCTAAGTAGAATGTATCTTCACCTCAGCATCTGCCCTTATTTTACATTTCTCAACACCGCAGGAAGTGGATCCCATTTTGGAAATTGAAATAGTTAATGCTATGCACTCCTTACTCTGGTTTTTTTTATTCCTCTTGCATTTATTATAGGAACATTTTTTTCAATTCACCAATCCCTGTAAACCTGAAAATATGTTGTTCTGAAAATGTGTGTTGGCAAGTGTAGACGTGGCTCTCCACCCTCTTCAGTTACAGGATCCTTTCTTCTTCCAGTTGCTGTGTCCTTATTCTGCTTCCTCCTGGCTCAGGGCTTCCATGGGATCACCCTTCTGCATGTACCTTCCCCTTTTCACAGCTCTTTCTCTGTCTAAAATGTCCTGACCCAGCCTACCAAGAGTCCCTGACTTCTGGTAATTCAAGCAAACATCATAAAACACCCCAAGCAGGTATGATAGTAATGCTAATAGATATGTTAATATATGCCTCTGAACCTTCTGGTGGCAGGAGGTAGTTCTATGAAAAACAATACTATCTCTGTTGTTGGAATTTTCAAGTAAATTTATGTTAACCAAACACTTCAATGGTTATTGCAACACACACACACACACACACACACACACACACACAGAGATAGATAGATAGATAGAGAGAGAGAGAGAGAGAGCATCCTTGCTTAAGCCACCTACACACAGGACTATCAGCGAGGCACATTTTAGATTCCTACTACCCCAATGAGTCTAGACTATTCATAAACCAAACTTTGCTTTTGCTCATGTCTGTGGTCATTTTGCTCTTATCTTCCCTCATTCTCTACCCATCTTTCAGAGTGCAGCTCAAGTTTTACATGTTCCATAATTCTTAAATCCAGCACAGAATATAATATATTTATTTTCTGTGAAAGACAAAAATACCAACTGGGCAAAGGTGATATTGTGAAATGTCTCTTTGGTCTCTGTCTGTTTTCTGACGCACAGCTCCTAAAATCCTTGTAATCTCTACAGTGATGAGTGTCTTTTGCATGCAAAGATTAGTGGCTATCCGAAAGATCAAGGCACAAATAGGAGATTGGGACCTTAAGCCCCACTCCCAACCTCTAGGGAGGGTACAGGTGCTGAAGGTAAAGTTGATCACCAGTGGCCAATGATTTAATCAATCATGTCTACATATTGAATCTTCCATTTGGCTGTTTACAATAGGCCAGCAAACAAAAGTGAAGTGTTTCCCTGAGTTCTGTGAGTCACTCTATCAAATTAATCAAATTCAAAGTAGGGGTCATGGGAACCTCAATTCATTGCCACCTGAACTTGTGGTGGCATCTGAAGGGGAGGGAAGTCTTGTGGGTCTGAGCCCCCTAACTGTGAAATCTAACACTATCTCCAGGTATATGGTGTCAGAATTTAGTTAAATTAGAGGACACTGGCCAAGTGCAGTGGCTCACATCTGTAAATCCAGCACTTTGGGAGGCAGAGGCAGGTGGATCACATGAGGTTGGGAGTCTAAGACCAGCCTGACCAACATGGAGAAACTCTGTCTCTACTAAAAATACAAAAATTAGCTGGGTGGTGCATGTCTATAATCCCAGCTACTTGGGGGGCTGGGGCAGGAGAATCTCTTGAACCCAAGAGGGCGGAGGTTGTGGTGAGCCAAGATCTCTCCATTGCATTCCAGCCTGGGCAACAAGAGCAAGACTATCTTGAGGAAAAAAAAAAAAGGAGCAGGTGTTGTAGATCAGTCAGGGTGATGAGAAAATTTATAGGAAAGACACAAACCTTCTTGGAAGGCTGGGAGGTTTTGCAAAAGCTTTGGTAAGGGGTTATAACTGAAGCCAGCCTAATCCTCTTACCTTGAGCTAATAGCAAAGAGCAGATAACAAGGGAAAGTAGAGGAGTTTATCTAGATAAGTTTGCTTACCTATTTCCCCAGAAACCAACCTTTGATCATTGACATACATGACTGCTTTCTACTTGGGGGGTTGGCAATGTTAATTACCTACAAATGGTGTTTGCTTCAGACCTTTGTCGTTAAATCTTTTCTAAAATAAATGCGAGAGTCTTCAGCATATTGGAGCTGCACGGTTGGACTCCTTCTTCAGGGTCTGTAAGCCATGGGGTTCCCTAGCCCTGCTTTCACAGGAAAAACACCTGTGTCTTCGAACTCCTTTCATCTGCTGCTCAGCCAGAGTCTGAAGGTCAGACTTGGCAGCTGGTGCCCCCATGTGAGGAACACTGCAATAGATCATGGCAGAACCCTCAAAATGAAGGTGAAGAGACTGGCTGCATAGTCGGTAAGTCAGTCAGTAAGTCACTAGTGCCCTTTCAGGATTTCCAAGCTTGAGGACTTCTTCAGCCTAGGATTTTTTCATGGGACAACAGTTATCAGCACAACAGAAACATATAAAGTATATAGAAGTATTGAAACAACTGCTTAAAGCTATCAGAGCCTCAGTTTCACAGGCTCAGTTAAGGGACCTAATGCAAACTGTTGTTATCCATAACCCATACTTCCTGGCAGAAGGCACGCTGGACCCAGAGCTCTGGGAACAAGTAGGGAGAAATCTTAAACAGCATCATGCCCTAGGGCAATGGGTCCCAGTTACATTTCTAAGGTGATGGGCTTAGTCAGGGCTGCTGTGGCCCTGCTCTACACGGAAGAGCCCAAAAAGGGAAGGGAAGAGAAAGTGTCACATACCTTACTGCCTCCTCCTTCTCCTTCAGCCCAACAATTACCAAGTAAGAATATCAAGGAGGAAACAGAGATTTTGCCTGAGCCCTCTCCCCCAATAAATTGGAAAAAAGACAAGGGATACACTACAGCTATGGGACCCTGTCTTAGGCAAGCGGCATTAGAAAGGGAGCTTTTGGCCTGCCCAATGATGCAAGATCAGCAAAACAATCAGGCATATAGAGAGACAAGAAAAAGCATTAGAGAAAATGGAGCCACTAGCCATTTAGGATTAATTGAGGCCACAGCAGACAACTTCCAGATAAGCCCATGGGACTGGTCAGTGCTAGCTAAAACTTTAGATGCCAGTCAATACCGCCTCTGGAGGGCAGAATTTGATGAATTATGTGAACAGCAAACCCTTTTCTAATAATAACCAATGTTATCCCTCACCTACCCCTGACACGACTCTCTCAAAATCCTATTTGGGTAGAACAGTAGCCTTTATAGGGAGAGAAATTACAGCAAGCCCATGAATTACTTGAGAAGCAATTAAGAGCCAGCCATATATAACTCTCAAATAGCCCTTGGAATTCACCCATTTTCATCATTCCCCAAAAGTCTGGCAAATGAAGACTTTTGCATGACTTACAGGCTATCAATGCTAATTTGCAGCCTATGGGGCCCCTTCAATAGGGGCTCCCTTCCTCCGCAGTGATTCCTCAAGATTGGCCTATAGTTGTTATTGGTTTAAAAGAGTGCTTTTATACTATTCCCCTTGAAGAACAGGACAGAGAAAAACTTGTGTTTATGACGCCAGATATCAATAATGAAAGGCCAGCTCGCTGATTTCATTGGAAAGTGCTTCCCCAAAGAATGCTGAACTGTCCTACCATGTATCAGTATCATGTACATCAGTCTTTGCTCCTCAGCAGAAAATAACTTCCTAATTGCAAGATTATTCATTATATGGATGATATATTACTGGCAGCCCCAATGGAGCCGGTAGTGTCAAGTATATATGCCTCTGTTGTAAAGAATACACAATTAGGAGGTTTAATCATAGAGTCCAAATGTTCTCTCCTTGGAAATATCTTGGATACATACTCATTTTCCAGTCAGTAAGACCCCAGAAGGTTAAATTAAATACTAGCAACTTACATATCTTAAATGGTTATCAAAAATTACTGGGCAATATAAACTGGCTTCACCCACCTTGGGCATAACTCCTGATAAGTTGCAAAACCTGTTTTCTATCTTAAAAGGTAACGCTGACCAGGACTTTTCCAGATATTTAACCCCTGCAGAAAAAAGAAAAAAAAAGAAAGAAAAATGAAGGAAATGGAGCAAGCTATTTCTCAGAGGCAACTAGATTGCATAGACCCAGGATATTCAGTTCAATTGTTTGTTTTTCCTACTAACCATTCACCAACAGAATTAATAGGACAGATGACCCCAGGGCTACGCTTCCTAGAATGGGTTTTTTGCTTACATACCGGGACTAAAATACTATTTCCCTATATCCAGCTAGTTAGTAAAGTCATCTACGCTGGCTGCAGATGATGCAATCAGTTGCTAGGTTATAACCATGATATGATAAGAATTCCTTTGAATAAAAAGCAATTGGAAGCAATCTTGCCCCCATCTTTAGATCTCAGATAGCACCCTCTGATTATGCAGGCCATATGAAGCATGCCCTTCCTGCTGACAAACTACTTCAGTTCTTATCTCATGCTCTTGCAGTTGTGCATGCAGAGGTAGTTCACTCCCCCATACCTAATGCTTTAACACTTTTTACTGATGGACCTGGTAAACAGGGAAAAGCAGCTGTTTGGTGGAAACCACATAATTTCCTCACTTGATCTGGATTTACTAGCACTCGTAGAGCTGAGCTTGGAGACCTAATATTGGCTTCGGAAACATTTTCCACTCAGCCCATCAATATTGTTAGTGACTGTTTACTCTGTTTATGTGTTGCAGAATCTTGAGACAGCCCTCATTAAGTCTACTCTCGAGCCCACCCTGTGATGACTTTTTGACTTCAGCAACTGCTGGATCAATATACATACCCTATTTTTATCTCTCATATTCAAGCCCGTAGCTCACTGCATGGCCCACTGGCTTATGGCAGTGGTCAAGCAGACCTACAAGTTACAATGTCTTTGCTTGACCAAGCCACCCAATCATATCAATTTTTCCACCAAAATTAGAGAAACTTAATTCAACAATTTCAACTTACCCAAAGAATAGCTAAAATATTATCCTGCAATTCCCAGATTGCCAGCCAACTCACAGGCACGTTCCCTCCTTCTACAGGTGTTAACCCTAGAGGACTAGAACCTAATCAGTTTTGGCAAAGCAGATGTTTCACACATCCCTGAATTTGGAAAACTAAGATGTGTACATGTATCCATTGATACCAATTCTCATCTAATTAGCACACATGCACTGCCTGGAGAGTCCACCGAGATGTCATTAAACATCTTCTTTTGGTTATGGTGTGGTGGCTCATGCCTGTAAACCCAGCACTCTGGGAGGCCAAGACAGGCATATCGCGAAGTCAGGATATGGACACCGTCCTGGCCAATATGGTAATACCCCGTCTCTACTAAAATACAAAAAATTAGCTGGGTGTGGTGGCACGTTTCTGTAGTCCCAGCTACTTGGGAGGCTAAAGCAGAGGAATTGCTTGAACAAGGAGGCGGAGTTTGCAGTCAGCCGAGATTGTTGTCACTGCACTCCAGCCTGCTGACAGAGCAAGACTCTGTCAAAATAAATAAATAAATACGTAAATATCTTCTTCTAACTTTTGTGTTTATGGGGCAGCCCACAAACATTAACACCGATAATGGTTTGGCTTATGCCAGCTCACAATTTCAACATATTTGTCACACATGGAACATCCAACTATTCCACAGGCATCCCATATAACCTCCAAGGACAAACCATAGTAGAATATGCTCACTCCACCCTTAAAAATAAGCTCGGAAAACAAAAAAGGGGGAATATGAGTAAGGACTCTGCAGCACTACTAGCACAAGACTTATTTACTCATAACTTTTTAAATTTTAGATGACAAATTTCAATCAGCTATAGAAAAGCACTTTGCTAAAACCTCCCAAGACATAAAACTTGCAGTTTTATGGAAGTATGTAAATAGTAATATATGGTGTGGTCCAAATGATTTGCTAAAATGGGGAAGAGGGTACGCTTGTGTTCACATTCTCTCAGGTCCTCTTTGGATTCCAGCACAATGCATCAAACCATACAATGGCATGACATGAAGGAAATGACCCTGCAGGACCCACAGCCCTGAACGATGTGCTTCCTCAAGGCACAAGCCCTGGACATTACCTGGGGGATGCTGAAGAAGGCAACTCAGGAGGCTGGGTGAATCCTGCTCCGTACCCAGTCACCATTCACTCCAGACGATTCATTCCTTGCTGTGCTCTCAGTTGTACATTGCAACTCATGTAAGATATTGATCCTTTTTATGCTCTTACTTTGCCTGCCACCATACCTTCTACACTACTGGGCTCATCTCTTAGATCCACCTTTTTTCCAGCCTTATTAGTCAGACACTCCCTTCCCAGCCTCTAAAGTTGTGACTGCTTGATTAGGAGGGACTGACTTGCCCCCAGTGGGGTTCCTCATTAATGGCACACAGTGGACTGAGGTGCTAAGTAGCATTACAGGTCACTCCTTGATAGGAAACATGCCACCGATTATACTCATGTTTGTTCAATGTTATTTAGTAATTCTAGGATGCAAGAATACAAGTTATAACTGCTGCGCCTGACAAAACTGTTGCTGCACACATCTATACTCTTCAAACAACAAAACCTGATGCAGAAAACAGAAAATGGTGAGAGGTAGGATATTGGTCAGGGTGGTGGGAAAAATTATAGGAAAGACACAAACCTTCTCGGAAGGCTGGGAGGTTTTGCAGAAGCTTCCGTAAAGGGTTATGGCTGAAGGTAGCCTAATCCTCTTACCTTGAGCTAATAGCAAAGAGCAGACAACAAGGAATGTAGAGGAGTTTTTCTAGATAAATTTGTTTTACCTATTTCCCTGGAAACCAACCTTTGATCACCCATGTGCATGACTTCTCCCTACTCAGGGGAGGGGCAGGTAGCACAATTATCCACAAATGGTGTTTGCTTAAGACCTTTGTCATTAAGTCTTTTCTGAAATAAATGTGAGCATCTCTGGCATATTGGGGCTACACAGCTGGACTCCTTCTTCGGGGTCTGTAAGTTTTGGGGTCCCCTAGCTATGCTCTCATGGAAAAAACACCTGTGTCTGTGTACTTCTGTCATCCGTTGCTCTGCCAGAGTCTCGGGTCAGACTCGGCAGGTGTCTTACAAGGCATAAGCTGAACCAAGAGATAGAACAAGGGAGAAGGTGCTGCACACTTTGAAATAATCAGATCTTGCAAGAACTCCCTCAATCACTATCACAAGAACAGCACCAGAAGATGGTGTTAACATGCTCATGAAGGACCACCCCCATGGTCCAATCACCTCCCATTTGGCCCCACCACCAATAATGGGGATTACATCTCAACATAAGATGTGGTGGAGACACAGACCCAGACAGTATCAATGTATACCAATTAATTTTAGCTTAATTTGTAGAGCTACTTTATTTATTTATTATTTATATTTTTGGGGCAGAGAAAGGGTCTCATCCTGTCACTTAAGCTGGAGTACAGTGACCTGATCTCAGGTCACTGCAGCCACGAATTCCCAGGCACCTGTGATCCTCCCACCTCAGCCTCCCAAGTAGCTGAGACTACATGGTGAATGCTACGGTGCCCAGTTAATTGTTTGCATTTTTTGTAGAGATGGGGTTTCACCATGTTGCCCAGGATTGTCTCAAACTCCTGAGATCAAGTGATCCAACCACCTCATCTTCTCAAAGTGCTGGTATTACAGGCGTGAGCCACCATGCTCCACTGAGTCTACTTTAAAATCAGTGGAGGCTGGGCACAGTGGCTCACACCTGTAATCCCAGCATTTTGGGAGGCTGAGGTGGGTGGATCACAAGGTCAAGAGATCAAGACCATCCTGGACAACATAGTGAAATCCTGTCTCTACTAAAGATACAACAATTAGCTGCATGTGGTGGCACACGCCTATAGTCTCAGCTACTTAGGAGGCTGAGGCAGAAGAATTGCCAGAGTAATAAGCCTTTTAAAGCTGTTTAAAACCTTTTTGATGACATTACATCACACTTCAAAGACAATTTAAAAATTTTATGACATGCAAGGCCCGGAAATATCTGTTCTCTGGTTAGGTCTCTGTTCCCAGATCCTACCACTCTTTCTCTCTCTACTGTGTTTTAGTCCCACTGGCCTATTTTCTGTTCCCATAAACACACAACAGGCAGGCATCCTTTTCAGGGCTTTCCTCCTGCCTGGACCATTCTTCCACAGTGTTCTTGAAGCTTCTTCCTTCCCTATTTATTATTTTTCAGGTCTCTGCTCCAATGTCACCTGCAGAGGTAAAGTGGTAGCTCCTACCAGCACTTGGTATTCACTTCTCATGTTGTACTTCCTTTTTGTTTGTTTGCTGATCTTTTAAATTTTATTCTACTTTATTTTTATTTTATTTTATTTTACTTTTGAGATGGAGTCTTGCTCTGTGGCCCAGGCTGGAGTGCAATGGCATGATCTTGGCTCACTGTAACTTCCGCCTCTTGAGTTCAAGCACTTCTCCCACAGCTGCCTACCAAGTAGCTGGGATTGCAGTCACCCACCATCATGCCCAGCTAATTTTTGTATTTTTGTAAAGACAGATTTTCACCATGTTTGCAAGGCTGGTCTTAAACTCCTGACCTCAGGTGATCTGCCCTCCTGGACCTCCCACTGTGCTGGGATTATAGGTGTGAGCCACCTTGCCTGGTCAATTTTTTTTAAATTTTAAGTTCCAGGATACAAGTGCAGGACTTGCAGTTTGTTACATAGGTAAACGTGTGCCATAGTGGTTTGCTGCACCTACCAACCCATCACCTAGGTATTAAGCCCCGCATGCATTAGCTATTTACCCTGATGCTCTCTTTCCCCCGCCCACACCGACATGCTCCAGTGTGTGTTGTTTCCCTCCCTGTGTCCACGTGTTCTCCTTGTTCAGTTCCCACTTATAAGTTAGAACATGCGGTGTTTGGTTTTCTGTTCCTATGTTAGTTTACTGAGGATCTCATTCACAGAACTGCTCATTGACATTTTTATCATTATTTGTTTACTTTCTGTCTCATCTCACTATCACTACTCCAAATGAGTGGAATATTTGTTTAGCTCTTTGTATCTTCAGCTGTAAGAATAGCGCCTAGATGATCTCTTTATAAGTATTTGTTAAATTAAGGAATATGTACTGTAAATGAATAAACCTTTAAGATGTTCTAATTAGAATACTAAAAACAGTCTTTCTTTTGCTTTGACATTCTTATTGTTTATCTTTTTGTCTACAATCAGGAAAAGATTAGAGTAACTTAGCAGGATCAAGCCTCTACTTAGAAACACAGTAGGATATCAATGCTTGGTAGAAAAGTTCTAGTGTTCCAGCCAAGACTACTCAAATGTATAAGCAAATCCCTCAAATATTTTCTTTGTGGACAGGGGCTCCATTTCATGATACAATGTGTATGCCGAGAGCAGGTATTACTTCAGTGAGATTCTAATGCATAGAATAAAGGTGCATAGAGGTAAAAAGGAACAAAAGACATAAATAATAAAATATAGAAAATACAGCAACCTAAATATGAAGCAATATACTAGACTGATAGGACAATTAGATTTTGGATTAATTAAATATATATTCAAATATTTTCTATCTTAGATTGGATTTCCGGGTCCTAAGATGTGCAGGTCCTGGGATGTGCTTTTGTCTACAAGTGGCCCTAATGGAGAACAGGGACCAGTGAGGGATTAGGGGAAGCAGGAAGAGAAGAGTAAGAAGGCCAAGCAGTGTTATTGCAAGCAATGTCCCAGTCTTTCCCTGATGTCCCCCCGAGCTCAGAGGCAATAACCAGTTCAGGGAAGCCGTGCTTTTATCCTCCTCCTCCTGCGTGGGGATGTCATTGGCTACAGACCCCCAAGAGATAAACCGCCCCCAGGCACCGGCCCGGCGCCGGCGCCGGTGCAGTAGCTCACACCTGTAATCCCAGCACTTTGGGAGGCCAAGGTGGGTGGATCATGAAGTCAGGAATGCAAGACCAGCCGGGCCAAAATTACCCGTCTCTATTAAAAATACAAAAATTAGCTGGTCGTGGTGGCTGGCGCCTGTAATCCGAGCTACTCCAGAGGCTAAGGCAGAGAATTGCTTGAACCTGCAGGACTTGGTGCCTGGGCAAAGCAACTTTACTGGGAGTCAGCAGGAGTTAAACCGAGCAGCTCTGCTCCTCACGTCTCTCATCCTCCTCGGACCAGCAGGCTGGCAAGGGCAGGTGTTCTCATTTCAATGTCAGAAGTTCACGAGAGCAAGCGGAAACATGGGATGCCTTTTGAGACACGGACTTGAAATTGGCACGCTGTCACGTGTGCCTGCATTTCACCAGCTAATACCAGTAACATGCCCAAGTTCCAGATCAAGGGAAGTCCGCTTTGCCCATGATGAATAGCCATGACGACGATGGGCTTGCAGGAAGGGTTGAAGAATTAGGGCCAATAATGAAATCTGCTATACTTTCCTATTTGAAAACTCTACTGCTACAGGCGCTAATTTATATCATGAAATGCCTTCTTAATTTAAAAAGTAAGTTAATAAAATCTAAGAAATTTGTATGAAATCTTTAACAGCCAACTTAGAATTGTCTATTTTAAATGATTTTATTTTTGTCACAGTCAAAATACACACACACACACGTGTTGCTTATTATATAGTAATGTGCTGGTTAATGACGGGGATATATTCTGAGAAATGAATCATTAGGTAGTATTTTTGTTATGCAGATATCAAAGAACGTACTTCACAAGCCTTAATAAGATAGCCTGTCACATATGTAGGCTATCTGGTATAGCCTATTGGTATTGGGCTACACAACTATCCAGCATATTGCTATACTGAATATTGGAAGCAAATCTAACTTAAGAGTATTTGTGTATTTAAACATATCTAACATAGAAAAGGTACAGTAAAAATATAATATATGGAGCATTTACCATGAATAAAGTTTGCAGGCCTGAAAGTTGCTTTGGGTGAGTCAGCGAGTGAGTGGTGAGTGAATGTGAATGCTGAGGACATTACTGTACATGACTGTAGACTATAAGTACTGTACAGTTAGGCTACACTAAGTTGATAAACAAAAATTTATTCAATAATTAACCTTCGAACACTATAACTTTTTTACTTTGCAAACTTTAAAATAAACTTTTGGCTCTGGTAGCAACACAGTTTAGAACACACATTGCACAGTATAAAACTATTTTTTCTTGATATCCTTATTCTACAAGCTTTTTTCTATTTTTAGTTTTTTTTTCTTTTTTTAGTTTTTATTTTTACTTTTTAAACTGTTTCCTAAAAATTGAGACCAGAGCACACAATAGTGTAAACCTCCACAGGGTCAGAATCATCCGTGTCACTGTCTTCCACCTTCACATTTTGTCCCACTGGAAGGTCTTCAGGGGCAATAACACATATGGAGCTGTCACATCCTGTGATAACGAGGCCTTCTTTTGGAATACTTCCTGAGGAATCTGACTAAGGCTGATTTAAAGTTAACTTTTTCTTTAATAAGTAGAAAGAGTGCACTTTAAAATAACAATAAAATGGTTAGTATAGTAAATACATAAACCAGTAATAGTCATTTTTTATTTTTATCAAGTATTATGGACTATACATAATTGCATGTGCTGTACTTTTATATGGCTGGCAGAGTGGTAGGTTTCTTTACACTGGCATCACAATAAACACGAGTAATATGTCTTGCACTAAGATGTTAGTTATGATGGCTATAATGTCACTAGATGATATAATTTTTAGCTCCATTATAATCTTATGATACCATTGTGGTATATACAGTTCATTATTGACCAGAATGTTGTTAGGTAGCCCACAACTGCAGTGATTTTTCAATTGTACTTAAGAAAAAACCTTACTAAACCTCCCAAAATTATAATTATTTTAGTTTATAGATGAATCACAGAACACCAAAATGAAAATATTTCTAGTTCCGGTAAGATTTATGTACCACAGTAGCTTGTACTAAATAGGTCAGTCAATATCTTGGCTGATAAGAAGCTATAGGACTCCAAAAGACTTAATTTAGCGGTATGTCTGTAAGTCAAAAAAAACCTCAATTACAGAAATGAAGCAACCCATGCTAGTGACAAAACTGGTAAACTTTTAGAATTTCTTTCTAGCAGCTGACTAAAACAAGGCAGTGTCATTTAAGTGATCTCAATAATCTGCCTTCTTCCAAGCAACTGAATATATGTAGTGGATTAGTTAAAGAGAAATTATAATTATTTTTATTTTCCTTCTCAAGGTGCTCTCTTTTTATTGTCTGTGTTCAATCTGAAGCCAGGTTTTCAAGATTAAAAAAAAGCCAGCCGAAATGTCTAGCAGATCCACAAATTTAAAGCTGTCTCTTCAGACACACACACACACACACACACACACACACACACACACACACACACACACACAAAACGATGAGTGCCTCATGGGACTTGTCTATTGCTTGAGATGAAATGATTGATTTAATAAAGAGTAATAGTGAAGAATAAACTTCCATGCTGGGGTCAAGGATAAAGTCAATTCTGACCTAGACAAATTAGATTTTGTATCAAATCCCCAGATAGAATTGTGAAATGTATAAACACAAATCCAAAAACAAACACTACAGAGAGATGACTTAGAACATCTTAGATGATCATCTTGATATGAAAGTAAAACAACACGTACATTAAAATAACAACCTCCTGTACTTTGTAAATGTGTTTTTAAAAGGTGAAATAGGGCAATCTTCACAACCATTGGTAATACTGAAAAATGGGAACAATTGCTAATTTTTAATGGAGAATTTTTCTACCATCTTATTAGCATTAATAGCGAGTTGATGCCCAACATCATGTTGCAGCCTTAGAAGAGTAACTTCTCTCTGCCTCTGCCTCTATTGTTTTCTACAGTGAATATTTATTACATATGTTTTTTGGATTATAAGGCTTGAGAAACCTCACCAATAAAATTAACAAAGGCTGTAGCCACAGAGAGCTGGCAAGAGTGGTATTACCAGAATCTGTACTCATCAAACTTAGTCAAATCATGTAGGGGATTAGAAATATTCACCCCAGCCAAGCACGGTGGCTCACATCTGTAATGCTAGCACTTTGGGAGGCTGAGGCAGGCAGATCACTCGAGGTCAGGAGTTTGAGATCACCCTGGCCAACATGGTGATGCTTTGTCTCTAATAAAAATACAAAAATTAGCCAGAAATCACTTGAACTCGGTAGGTGGAAGCTGCAGTGACTGAGATCGTGCCACTGCACTCCAACCCGGGCAAGAGAGCAAGCCTCTGTCTCAAAAAAAAAAAAAAAAAAAAATTTACCCTGCTGTCTTCATTCTTTTTAAATAATGTAAATAATACCTATGTGTATTTCAGTTGTTAAAATTTCTAAAATAACATATAGTTAATAAAGAAAGATCCTACTTTAACACAGAGAAATTACTAAATAAAATTATATATAATCATTTGCAATTTTAAAATAAGATATTCTTCACAAAATAAGGATTGAAGGAAACTGCTCACTTACTGATTGTTTTCAGAATTATAATAGAAGTTCTAAATATTCCAGTAAAAATAAAAAAAAAAGTATTATAATAACACAGTAAAAAATAAGTGTTTTTTTCCATATGGTATGATTGTCTAAGGACTACCACATATGGCAAGGGGTGGAGGGCTAGGTGAAGGATAACATTAGGATAAATACCTAACGTAAATGGTGGGTTGATGAGTGCAGCAAACCACCCTAGCAGGCGTATACATATGTCACAAACTTGCACGTTGCGCACACGTATCCCAGAACTTAAAGTACAAAAAAAAGAAAACATTAAAAAAGAGAAAGACTACCACATACAGCCAATCAGGTTGTGAACTTCCCAAACCTCAGAAGCACAATTCAATGTGAAACCTGTATTAGTTTGCTAGGACTACCATAACAGATTACCACAAACTGTGGGGCTTAAACAGTAGAAATTTATTTTCTCACAGTTTTGGAGCCATGATGTCTGAGATCGTGCTGTCAGTGGGATTGCTTCCTCTGAGGCTTCTTTCCTTGTCTTGTCCATGGCTATCTTCTCTCTGAGACATCACATGACCTTCCTTCCGCCTGCGTCTTCCTCCTATTCTCTTTTTATATGGGCACCAATCCAAAGTCATATTAAATTAGGACTCACCTTAATGACTTCAGTTTAACTTAACACTTTAAAGATTTCATCTCCAAATACCATCACATTCTGAGGTACTGGGTTTAGGACTTGCACATATACATTTTGTCGGGACAAAATTTAGCATATAATAAATCCCAAAAGAGTATATAGACAAATTATTAGTATTAATAATAGTTTAACCAAGCTACTAGATATGTTTTTAAATGCCAATTACAGTAATGAGGAAAACAAAAATTACCTGGGAGTCAATATGACAAGTTATGCATATGGCCATAATGTAGAAAATTGAGAAGGGTTAATTTATCCAAAACTGATGCTCTGGGGAGGCTCCTGTAAAACTGTATGAAAAAACCAACTACACGAAGTTCTTCAGGGGATTACTTTGATAGAGGACAGAAATTAGAGATTAGATCACTTATCCTCCATGCAGGGAAAAATTAAAAGCCCAGACTCTAGCTCCCTGATCTCATCAGGGAAGAGAGTGGTGCTCCATCAGCCATGAATGTTTTGATAACATAACAGGGTGAATGTCAGCTTTCTTACGTCATGTGACTACTGGAGACCAGCCTGAATCACATGAGGAGAATGGCTTCCCTAGTCAAGCAACCTTAACCAACTCAGTCAAAGGCTGAGGTCTCACTTACATATCTGGCACAGTTAGATCCTGTCTTCTGGTCCAGAGCAGAATTCAAATGAGGGCCTACAGTCCTAGTGTGACTCTAAGCTCATGAGTTTTTCTCAATGAAAGTGGCACCAAAAGCTTGGTATCTGTATTCAACAAAAATATGAAACTCATAAAGAGCTTAATAATTGAAGAAATATGTTCCCCTCCCTGTGTCCATGTGTTCTCATTATGTAATACCCACTTGTGAGTGAGCACATGTGGTGTTTGATTTTCTGTTCTTTTGTCAGTTTGCTGAGAATGTTGGTTTCCAGATTCATCCATGTCCCTGAAAAGGACATGAAGTCATCATTTTTATGGCTGCATAGTATTCCATGGTGTATATGTGCCACATTTTCTTTATCTGGTCTATCATTGATTGGCATTAGGGTTGGTTTCAAGTATTTGGTATTGTAAATAGTGCTGCAATGAACATATGTGTGCATGTGTCTTTATAATAGAACGATTTATAATACTTTGGGTACATATCCAGTAATGGGATTGCTGAGTCAAATGGTATTTCTATTTCTAGATCCTTGAGAAATCGCCACACTGTTTTCCACAATGGTTGAACTAATTTACACTCCCACCAACAGCGTAAAAGCATTCCTATTTCTCCATATCTTCTCCAGGATCTGCTGTCTTCAGATTTTTTAATGATTGCCATTCTAATTAGTGTGAGATGGTATCTCAATGTGGTTTTGATTTGCATTTCTCTAATGACCAGTGATGATGAGCATTTTTTCATATGTTTGTTGCCTGCTTAAATGTCTTCTTTTGAAAAGGGTCTGTTCATATCCTTTACCCACTTTTTGATTGGGGACGTTTGCTTTTTTTCTTGTAAATTTGTTTAAGTTCTTTGTAGATTCTGGATATTAGCCCTTTGTTAGATGGGTAGATTACAAAATTTTTTTCCCAATCTGGTGGTTGCCGGTTCATGCTAATGATTGTTTCTTTTGCTGTGCAGGAGCTGTTAAGTTTAATTAGGTCCCATTTGTCTATTTTGACTTTTGTTGCCATTGCCTTTGGTGTTTTAGTCATGAAGTCCTTGCCTATGCCTATGTCCTGAATGGTATTGCCTAGGTTTCCTTCTAGGATTTTTATGGTGTTAGGCCTTCTGTTTAAATCTTTAACCATCTGGAGTTAATTTTTATATAAGGTGTAAGGAAGGGGTCCAGTTTCAGCTTTCTGTACATGGCTAGTCAGTTTTCCTAACACCATTTACTAAACAGGGAATCATTTTCCTATTGCTTGTTTTTGTCAAGTTTGTCAAAGATCAGATGGTTGTAGATGTATGACATTATGTCTGAAGCCTCTCTTCTGTTCCTTTGGTCTGTATCTCTGTTTTGGTACCGGTACCATGCTGTTTTGATTACTGTAGCCTTGTAGTCTAGTTTGAAGTCAGGTAGCATGAGGCCTCCAGCTATGTTTTTTTTTTTTTTGTTTTGTGGTTGTTTTTTTTTTTTTTTTTTTGCTTAGGATTGTTTTGGCTCTGCGGGCTCTTTTTTGGTTCCATGTGAAGTTTAAGGTGGTTTTTTCCAGTTCTGTGAAGGAGTCAATGGTAGCTTCATGGGGCTATGGGG